TGGTTGCAGGCCCAATGTGAAAGAACCACGTGGAAGGACTCACAATTCATGGTCAAAGATGCCATGGGGATCGAGCGTCCCGTCCTCTTGGATGAGCCGCGCGAGTCCCAAGTGACCTTTCTCAATGCAATGCAATTCTGCAAAAAGTGGCGCAGGCGCAAAACTGATGAGCAAATGTATATAGCCTTTGTTAGGCCTGCTCATGTGCCTTCTATTTTTGCTGTACATATTGATTCTACTTTGCATGTTGTTTCCACCTCGGATGCAACTACTTCTACCTCTACTTAATGTACCTCTAGTCCAAATGACTCTACTTCTAATCCTGTTGTTTTGGCTGCACCTATGCAAACTGACATGCTTGCTCCCGAGAGTGATGATCCCCCTTCGGAAATCCCACCGGAAATTCGCAACCTTCTCAACCGATTTCCTTGACGTCTTGGCCGAACCGCATGGAGTCCCAGTGTGTCCGGTCCGACACAGGATCGAGTTGATTGAAGGTAGCACTCCTCCAAAGGGTTGTGTCTATCGAATGGGCTCAGACGAATTGGAGGAGTTGCGAAGGCAGATTGATGAAATGATTGGGAAGGGATGGATCAAGCCGAGTGAGTCGGAGTTTGGTGCACCAGTGTTGTTTGTCCCTAAGAAAGGAGGTAAGTTGCGGATGTGTATTGACTACCGCGGGTTGAATCGGATCACGAGAAAGAATGCATATCCTTTGCCACGTATCGATGATTTGCTTGATGCTGCAGGTGGGTGCAAAGTCTTCAGCAAGATCGATCTCAAGTCTGACTACCACCAGATCGAAGTCGATCCTGCGGACCAGCACAAAACCGCATTCAAAACTCGCGATGGGTTGTACAAGTTTACCGTCATGCCCTTCGGTCTCACGAATGCGCCAGCCACCTTTCAAAGTCTCATGGACAAAGTGTTCCGCCATCAGATTAACCGGTTTGTTGTTGTTTATCTGGATGACATACTAATCTTCAGCAAATCGATGGAGGAGCACATGAGTCAAGGAAGTGATGCAGATCCTCAAGGATGCGCAGCTCCATCTCAACTTGGAAAAATCTAAGTTTGGGAGGGACAACGTCATCTACCTTGGACATCGGTTGTCTGCTGCAGGCCTAGAGCCCGAGGCAACCAAAGTTGAGGTCATCCAAAAATGGCCCCAACCTGCGAATGTCCGCGATCTGCGTTCTTTTCTTGGTCTTGCGTCATATTATTGTAAGTTTGTGCCAAAATTCTCTATCATCGCCCGACTGCTGTCTAGACTAACAAGCAAGAATGTGTCCTACGCATGGAATGAAGAATGCACAACAGCCTTTGAAGCACTGAAAGAGGCTTTGGTGAGTCATCCAGTACTCCGCATTGCAGATCCCAAGCTTACATTCGTGGTGACTACGGATGCAAGTTTGTATGGGATTGGTGCGGTGCTGCAGCAAGATGACGGTGATGGCTTACGTCCGCTTGAATTCTACAGCAAACACATGCCCATTCACAAGGTAGCCGCTTCCACCTACATGAGAGAGCTCTATGCCTTGAGAGAGGCACTAGACCACTGGAAACACTACCTCTTGGGTCGCCATTTCAAAGTGTTCTCAGACCATGAGACCTTGAAATGGATTCAGACAGAGGTTAACCCATCAACCACATTGACCAGATGGCTGCATGAGATTGATGTTTATGATTTTGAACTCAAACACAAGAAAGGCTGCTATAATCGTGTTGCGGATGCTTTGTCTCGCCACCCCGAATATATGACTTGCCTTGTGGGTTCCTATGACCTTCGTAAGAATCTGAAAGAGGAGCTCATTGAGCATACTGCCAAGGATCCGGAGCTCAGTCCCATCCTTGAGCAGATCCGGGCTGACCCTAGCAGTCAGCCTGATTTCCATGAGTGTAAGGGCCTTCTCTTCCGACGTTACGGGAAGCATGACCGATTGTGTGTGCCAAACCATGAGCCAATCATGACTCATTTCTTGGACTTGGCTCATGGCCGGAGTGGACACTTCGGTGTTGAGAAGACATACGGGAATTTGTTGGAAAAGTTTGTGTGGCCTGGAATGAAAAGAATGGCACAAAGGTTTGTGGCTGAGTGTGAAGTTTGTCAACGCATCAAACCGTCTCGGCAGAAACCCTATGGGTTGCTGCACCCTCTTCCTATCCCTGATGGCCCGGGTGAGTCTGTTTCCATTGACTTCACGGACATGGGAAAGAAGAGCAGAAACGGTTATTCGCAAGTGATGGTGATCGTTGATCGGTTTTCGAAATTTCTAAATCTGATTCCCTTGCCACCTCACGCCCCAATTGACCTTGTGATCGATGAGTTCAACAAAAGGTACGTGCTACATTATTGCCCCCCGAAAACTCTTGTGAGTGATCGGGACACTGGGTTCATAAGCGCAGACTGGAAAGATTTCACCTCCTAGACCTACGACATGAAACTCAAGATGACGTCTGGGCGACATCCCGAAGCCAATGGACTGGCTGAGGAAATCAACCAGACCGTGATCCAGCTTCTCAGGGCTCTAATTGTACCTGATCAGAACTCTTGGGATGAGGAGTTGCCGATTGTGCAGGGGTTGTACAACAACTCCATCCACTCCTCCATCGGGATGACGCCTAACCGGCTGCATCTTGGATGGAAAATCCGCAATCCTCTATCTTATTTGTTCCCTAATCAGCCACCTGGCCTAACACCTGGTCAGCCAGGCTACAGCGCCAAGTTCGATCGCCTACTCAAGGTTGTTGTCGCAGCTATGGAGAGGCGACACAGTGCGATGATTAAACATGCTAACAAAAAGCGCCAGCCTGCACCATTCACAGTGGGAAGTTATGTCTGGGTCAAAATGTCTGAGTTTTCCGAAGAGGAAGGTGTATCACGAAAGCTTCTTCCTCAGTACTACGGTCCGTGGCAGGTCTTGAACCAGGTAGGGAGTGATTCCTTCGGTCCTTCTTACACGATCGATGTGCCTGCACATCTGCGCACATTCCCAGTCTTTCATGCGTCAAAGTTGTTTCCGTATGAATCACCTGAAACTTTCAAGTACCGAGAGTCAATGATTCCCCGCGCAATCAATGGCGGTCATGAGGTTGATAGGATTGTCGAACACAGTGGGAAGGGAAGAAACAGACAGTACAAAGTTCATTTTTTGTACCATCCGTTGGATGATTTCTATTGGATTGCTAGGAAAGACTTACTGCAGAGTGCACCGCGCGTCGTTAATGCCTATGAACGATTGATAAGTGCTGAACAGCAACCAAAGTTCACTGCTACCCTGACTCCTACGGAACACGCCCGATCTCTCTTTGCTATTTACGCCTATGATGCACTATGCAAGGACTCTGATTGAGTTACTCGCTCGAAGGGACCTCGCTCTTGAGGGGGGGGTAGTGTAATGACCCGTCATAACACAGGCTGAGAACACTGCTGATTTCTGACGTTCTGCCGATGGAATGGATGCCTTGATGAGATTCCCGCATTCTGCTGTGTTTTCTAAGTCCGTCTGCGTGTGCGTGCTTGTGACCTGCATGCCTGTCTGAGTGCTTGCTGGTATGAGTGTGTGTGGGACCCGCAAGGGTACTTGCTTGTTTGGCAGGCCCGTAGGGCCGGTACTTCCCTGTGGCCGTGGCATTGAGGGTTGTAGCAGGGAAAACACTCAAGTGGCGAAGCTAGCGGCCCTGAGGCCCTTGGGGTAGCGGAAAAACACTCAAGTGGGCCGGTAGGCCGATACTGCACCCCACTGCAGTTGGCGTGAGGGGGTACTGGAGGCTGAGCAGAAAAAGACAAAGTTGGCATTTTTAGAGTCCAGTAGCGGTAGGGTAGGTCTAGGCCGGTACCAGTCCAACCAGTCTGAGTCTAGAGCCTGTACGGGTAATATCAGGGTCTGCAATGATGTTTCCCTCCGAAACGGAGGAGGTACCGGTTGCTTGGAGAGGCCGAGCGGCCTGGAAGTCACCGCCCAGGAGGCAAGTAGGCYGCTATATCAAGAGGCAGGGCAAAGAGCCCGGCCTCGTTCTTCAGTGTGCGAGTTGGGSGTCACGCTGCTGGAGCGCTAGGTGGTGTAGCGCTGGGCACTACAGCGCTGCTGGGAGGAAGAAGCCGGGAGCTTCCACCTTGGCTATGGTGGAGCTCTACCGGTAGGAGGAGGAGGGAGAAGGGGACCAAGGAGGAGAGTGGCGAGGTACTTACTGGCTATGGTAGACACCATCTTCATCTCCTTGCTAGGCGCTGCATCAGGAAGGCCCCGGTGGGGGTAGTGCCGC